CCTTCCCACCCTGACAATTCTATGATTCTATAAATTCAGCAGGCAGCTTGGCTGCCAGATTTAACGTATTTATAATGGAAAGTGTCTTAAAAACACAACTGGGCTAAATATGGTAGATTTTTTTATGGAAAGAGTAAAAGGGTTATTACTGGAACTAGTGACACTTGCACAGAACAAGTATAGAAAAAGAATAAACCGCTTTTGATGGAAGGTCTTCATCCTTTTGTTAATGTCAGAAAGTAATTTATTTTCACCCAGTTTAATTCCAGGAAGAGATGAGTTCTTCGTGTTGAAAATCTCTGCTCTTCCATGATTCAGTGTTTACGTAGACTGATCTGTTCTCCCTAGTAGAGAGTGATAGGATGAGGGGAAATGGATTTAAATTGCACCAGGGGAGGTTCAGGTTAGATATTAGGAAGAATTTCTGTACTGAGAGGGTTGTCAGCCATTGGAACAGGCTGCCCAGGGAGGTGGTTGAGTCACTGTCCCTGGAAGTGTTTAAGAGACGGGTGGCTGTTGCATTGGGGGGAATCATTTAGTAGGTGGATAGAGCTGGGACAAAGGCTGGACTCGATGATCTTCAAGGTCTCTTCCAGCTGATACCATTCTATGATTCTGTTCTGTGATCTGTGACAGGGAGTCAGAGTTTTATGTTGTATAGGTCTGAGGAAGATTCTGCTAAAGTTATTAGAACATTGATGGTGGATGAAGCTGTTAGTATTTGCTTACAGTATTCCTCTAACCTTACTTAGTAAAAATACTTTTATTAAGTGAAAATCTGTTTCTTTGCTTTGGGCTTTTAAAAATAAAAGCTGTAATTGCAGATATTTTGCCTTTATAGAACAAATTTATTTTAAACATCAAATTCGGTGTCTACCTGTCCTGATAAATTCCACTTGAATTTTGAGATTTGTCAATGTCAGTTTTCAACAGAGCGAGTTATCTTGGGTCTTGACAAGATCACTAAATTTATTAGGCTTTATCTCGGGAAACCTAGGTGTTGTCTTCATGCTTTGGTTTTTTATCTTCTAGCATGTTTCCCTTCAGGGAATCTCAGTGTGTGTAATACATATAATTATCTTCAGAATGTGTGACTATGCTGGCAAGCTTACTTTCTTCAGGCATACAAAAGGATTGGAGTCAACAAGATAAAAAAGAAAAGCCTTGTGATAAATGGTGTATGGGATGTGTAGCTTCACTGTCAGTGGTCAGAGTATAATGAACGCAGTATTTACAGGTGAGGGTAATATCTTTGATTACACAACTGATCTAGTTAAGTAGGAAAAAAACCTTGGCTCTTGGGTCCTTTTTTTTACCTTTTATAAGGATTCCTTGGGTCCCTTTCATTTATCTGAAATACTAAGCGGTGAACGTGGAGTGAGGGATACCTGCCACGCTGGTGCGTTACACGCTGCTTCACACGACACACAGGCTGCTGGAACGCCCGTGTGCATTGATCCTTCAGTGCCCGTTTTTCTCCCTTGGCCAGAAACGTGAGGTGCCTCCTTATTTGTTGGAAGAATTCAGCAAGGGAGCTTTCTAGAGACGAGAATTTGTACAGGATGAATTGTCCTGTGCAGAGGCTTAGTTCTGGCCAAATGCTCCCTGAAGCGCTCCTACTGGCAGTCCCGTAGGTCTTCCACTACTGCTGTGGAAAAGGATTCTGTCGTAGCACAACTCGTTTTTATCCATCCTTGTGAAGAAGTAGTACTAGGCACAGGTGAAAAACACTTTTTCTCCCTTCCTGGGATGTTGTGTTTATTTTGGCTCTTACCATTGCAAAACAAGCCAGAAAGTCATAAGGACTTACCTCAAAACTCTGTCTTTGAGCCCAGGGTTAGAGCTTCAGTTACATTCTGCAACAGCCACAGTCATGAGAAAAAGAGGTGCTGTCAGTGAGATACCTACAGTAGTACATAGATACGTTGAATTTACAGGAGGTACGCACGTTTTGGGATTTATTTGTGTTAGCTGTGAAAATAAGGAACACTAGCTCACTATTTATTTTTATTAATGAGCAGAACGAACATCAGTTTGGGGTAGAAAGCAGTTGCTAAGTGATCCTAGCAGATTTGCCAACTATCTTACATCTGTTTGATGGACATGTTTAGGCAAAAACATGGGAGAAAGCATCTAACCAAAACTCCATTTGTACATTAAAAGCGCTATTTTTAAAGTTTTATTTCTGTGAGAACAGGACAAGAATAGCAGTAATCAAATTCTGCCTTGTATTAAATTGTACGTTTACAAAAAGTGGAAAGCTTAAATTAAGAGAACATAAAATAGATTGCAATGTGTTTGCAGGAAATGGTAAAAAATGGTCATGGAAAATAACTTCTTATTTTTTTTAACTGGTTTATAGTCTGAAATTAGAAAAAAATGAGCCGTAACAATACCTATACTTATTTGCTCTGCCATCACCTGGACACATGATTTTTATCATCGTGATGAAATACATTGGAAGTACTACCCTAAGAGTGGCTCAGCACAGTGTTGTGACACTAGGTGCTAGGGAGAGCTGGCCCTGGTTTGTGAGTAGCAGTGTGAAGGGTGGCGCTCAGACCTCCTCACGCCGCAGTGACGTGTCGTGGGGATTTGTCCTTCACTTGCCGATTCCGGACCTCGCTGCTGCCAAACTGGGAAGATCCAGGCAATTTCTGTTCCAGGCAATTTCTCACCCTCATGGTTCCGCTCCCACTAGTTTCAGAGTCCCAGACAAACGAGGGAGTGTGTTCTACAGGTCATGTTTAAGTCTGGTGTGCGGCTGAAGCAAGAGTAAATGGCAAAGCTGCCTCTCTCACAAAGCGCAGACGTAATCGAGGTGGTGCAGCGGCATCAGCGTGGAACGTGAAGGGAAATATTTTTTTCAAGTAGGGTCTATGTTGTCTAAGTGAAAACTAGAACTTTCACGTTTGCAGAAAGAGGCGTAAATCCTGAAATGCTGCCGGAAAATGGTTTTGGCTATCCACTCATTGAATGTATTAAAAAAAAAAAAAATACTGGATGGATTATTTGATCTATTAGTCTTTGTTTGAATTTTTACACTACCATGGTACATTTTCCTTGCATTATCAGTCTCTCTTTTTCTGTTTATACACTTCATGCAGTATTATTGATGTATTCTCTTTTAATTTTCTTTTTAATAATAATAGAATACATGTGAATTTCAAAGCCAAGATGGCTCAGAAGAGAAGCTCAAGTGGGCGGTCGTTCCCGTTACTGCTGCTGCTGATTGTCGTCGCCTTTGTTCATTTAACCGTCTGTCCTTTTACAAAAGTGGAGGAAAGCTTTAACCTACAAGCTATCCATGATGTGGTGTACCACCAACTGGACTTAGATAAGGTAAGTTGGAAAGAAGGTGTTCTCCCTTGGATACTGGTAAAGATCTCAATTCCCTGCTATAGGAGTAGGATAAATGCAATGTCAATATGACTTATCCCAGGTTTCCTGTGTTTCTGATTTGTGTATCTTACTTAGATTTTCCTTTTTGCAGTATGACCATCATGAATTTCCTGGAGTTGTCCCGAGAACATTCCTTGGACCAATTTTTATTGCTGCTCTTTCTAGCCCAGCTATATATGTACTTTCTGTGCTAAGAATGTCCAAGTTTTACTCCCAGCTGATAGGTATGAGAACTTTAAATTGTCAAAATAGAGATGTTTTTACTACTGGACTAATGAGTGACACTGTTCTAACATTCAGCATTTGGATAAATGATAAAAATGTCATAGTCTTTTCTTTAGTGTGGGATTTTGCAAACTGTAGGCACTTAGAAGCAGCATGGCAATGCTGCCCCCGCTTTGGAGTAATTTCACAGCGCAAAGAAAGTCTGTGCTAACAAATGTCAGACGGTGTAGAAAAACCAAGTGTTTGTCAGAGAATATACTGCCATGTGTCCTTCCAAGTATGCTTTAGAAAATATGAACTTTTTATTTCTTTAGAGTGACTTATATTGTGATAGCTTGAGAATTATTCTTTGTAACTTCTGCCCAATATGTGATGTAACATGGTTCTTTGTAAATGATCCATCTGACATTACTCTTATTTCCCGTTTTTATTCTTATGATAGTCCGAGGAAGCCTGGGGCTCAGTGTGATTTACACATTGTGGAAGTTGCAGAAAGAAGTTAGAAAGCAGTTTGGAGCAACTACATCAACAATCTTCTGTCTCATCACTGTTACTCAGTTTCATTTGATGTTCTACTGTACACGAACCCTCCCTAATGTGTTTGCACTTCCTTTTGGTAAGTATTTGCATAGGAATAATTTTAAAATACAAAGTTCTTCTCAAATGTATCAATAGTAGAAGCACAGAAAATGTGTGGTCAGGCCAAATTAATATATATGCTTAAGTTGTATAACAAGATTAGAAATATTAAGCAGTTGTGATTTGTTCCTTTTTTTTTTTTTGTTAACCACATATGTTTACAATGACTGTTGAATCAATTTTTGTTGAATCTGAATGTATGTGGATGTCAGATAGCTTTGATTAGATGTTTGCTTACACATATCTGATGCATAAAACATAGACCTATTCTACAGGCAATAGAAGCACTTGCAGTTCATAAAAAAATCTGTGAACTCGGTCTGCATGGGAAAGGCTTTCTCAAGAGACTGTGGAGCAAACTCCTACTGCAACATCTCTACCTTCCTCTTATGAAGTTACCTACAAATATAGCAGTTTGATTTCTTTTGTTGTTTTGTTTTATTCTTTTTTGCCCTTAAGTATACAAAGTCAAACCCTTACTCTGTGCATACAGTTTTCCCTCTCATCATCTCTGGGGAAAGATTAACCACATGTGACAGGTACTAGCCGAGTCACTTAATGCATCAGTGCAAGTTGCTCAACTAATAAAATAATGAGGTTGGTGCAAGAACCTGTGCAGATCAGAACTGAAAAAGGAAGCAAAAAAATTGTCAGATGAACACTGTGTAGTCATAAAATTTTCAGATAATTTCTGCAGGTATTAAGAAATACCTGCAGTTTCCTGGCTTAATATTTCACATGTTTTCTGTAGGATCGTGACCACTTTGCTATGTGGTCAGTGTTAACAAGTGATTTGAACTACAAAAAGTAGATGTAACTTCATCTGTAGAGACAGGGATTCGTCTTCCAGCTATCTATGCAAATAGATTTATAATTCCTGAGCAGTAGTTTGTAGTCTCTTTTTTGTAGTACTGTTGTCATGAATATAGGATACACTCAGCCAAGAGAATAAACTAACTCTTCATCTGATACTGAGCAATAGTTTTCTTAGTTTGAAAAGCTTTTAGCACTCTTTTAGGGTTTGGGTTGGTTGTTGTAGTTGTTAGGGTTTTTTTTCCCCCAAAAGCTAATAAATATATTCATGAGGAAGAGTTCCCATGTGTTCCTTCAGTGGTTATATTTTTCCTAATTACTTAAGCATCGAGAATAGGAAGCTATATGTTATTTCAAGCTATGTTTCTCTAACACAGGAAGAATTTCTGGATTAGAAAAGGTAGAAGACCAAGACACAGAACCAAGGATTGGTGGGAACTTAGAGGAACAAGACACCAGTACTGAGAAAGGTGTTGCTCTTTAGAAAACTCATAGTTCAGTGTGTCAGGTGATGTGCTTTCTTTATTTTTGCAGTGCTCCTGGCATTGACGTTCTGGATACAGCAAAAGCAAAGACCTTTCATTTGGTTCTCAGCGTTGGCAATTATAGTCTTCAGATCAGAACTCTGCATATTCTTAGGCCTCATGCTCCTGGTGACATTATTAACTAAAAGAATCTCCATTTTCAAGGTGCTTTCCCATGCTGTTCCTGCTGGAATTTTTTGGTTGGGTAAGTAATTGTTTGGAAAAAAAACAAATGACACACAGTAAATTTAGCAGAAGGCTGGAGGTTTGACTGACTTCTCTGATGACCTGGCCCTTAGAGTTTCCTTTTTTTCTTTTTTTTTTTCTTTTTTTTTTTTCCATTTGCTAGTAATATGACAAGGGTATTTATTTCTCTGAAAATTCCTGTGTGAGGAAATAGGTGTGCACAGAGCAGTGCAAGAAAAATACTCTGACCCCTGCCTTTAGACGCTTATAATATAATGTCCTAGTATTAAAGAGGCTTAGATATGCCAGTTGACTTCTGTATAATTAGTACATGGCTGTAGCTACATGTGCATTATCAGCTGTAGTATCTGTTGCCATAATAGGCTGAACCCCAGGATAAAACACAACAGCGTGACAGACAAGGATACTGAGCAAGAGGGTTGTGGCAAGAGTCACAGCTCAGCTCTGTTTCTCTATTACATTAATTTTAATAGCTAAAGTGATTATCCGTGCTAGAGAGGTTGAAAAGATGTTCTTGTCTGCTCATCTACAGCAGGCTCATGCATATGCATGTCAATATTCTTAAGCTTCTCTGCTAGGCTACCTAATTAAAAATGCTGCTGTCAGATGCCTAATGACGACCTCTGGTACTCTGCTGTCTCTTCCACAGCATGGACAGTAGAAATGGTGAAAGATCATGCCACGTGCATTTGGAGGCACCTCACAACATAAAAGTTTGGAGGTCCGATGGGACTTAGTCACTGGTACTCCCATTCCCTCTCTGGGCAAACTTCTTAAAATACCAGAGCAGTTTTCATAGAGCTGAGCAGAGGAGATGGGGCTGTTGGATTTGCTGCTTTTCTGTCTTTTTGCCTTTCATCCCTTATCTTCCTTCTTCCCTCCCATCTAATAAATAGAGGTTGAAAACAAAGCTTATCAGCTTTACAATAACAATCTGTTTAGTACTATTTGAAGTTAACCTGGATTTCTTACTATTTGTCCCATTTAATGCTCTAATATTCTTTTCAATCAAACTTTAATTAAACTGCTGCTTTTCACACCTGGGGTTGGAGTGGGGCAAATCTCAGATTCCTAACACGCTTAAGACTTCTTAATAGAAGTGCCTCCCTTCCCTGCATTTCCACTGGCAGACAGACAGATTGAACCCTCTCTGTGGCTTTGGGTGGGCCTTAATATGCACGTTCCAGTTTATGTGGATCTCGTCAGTAAATGTGCAATTTGGATGTGCTAATTTGCTTTCCTCTAGTTTTCAATTCACACAGATTTGTATTTCTCTAATTCTTTTAGGGCTAACAGTTGCTGTGGATTCTCTATTTTGGAGGCAGCTTGTGTGGCCTGAGGGGAAAGTGCTCTGGTATAACACAATTTTAAACAAAAGTTCCAACTGGGGAGTATCCTTTGAAACATCCAGGGAAAAAGATCTATTGAACACTACCAGCCAAGGCAAAAACTTGATGATGTAACCTATTCCTAAGACTCAGTTATGGCTTTAAATTTTACTTTCCATCTAGTATTTTGTTATTTGAAGCTTATGAGACAATGTCTGTTTCTTAGATCTTGCCTCTACTGACTGTTCCTTCTTGCTGCTTATTGTTCTACCAGTGCAGAGCCAGATTTCTTCCCTTTGGTCTTTCATGTTGGCCATCGTTAGAGCCATTTAATTTGCCTCTGTTGGGTGATGTGAGTGTAGTTAGGCAACTGCTTTTATTTCTTAACGGGTAAGGCAGGAACTCCAAAACCTAGAAAAATGTAACATACAAAAAGCATACTGTGTATTTGCAAAATTTGCATGTACTACTGTAAAGAATAGTACTTGCTATCATTGAAAGCATCCTTAACTCTCCTTTTACTTTGAAGACCTCTCCCTTCTTGTGGTATTTCTATTCAGCCCTGCCTCGTGCTTTGGGATGCAGCATTTTATTTGTACCTCTGGGTGTAACAGAAAAGAGAACTCGAATATTGCTTTTGCCAGCACTGGGCTTTATTTTCTTGTATTCATTTCTCCCACACAAAGAGCTGCGTTTTATCATATATACTTTCCCTGTCTTCAACATAGTGGCTGCTAAAATGTGCTCACGAATGTAAGTTCAAAATTCTCTTTATTTATATTTTTTTCTCTGAAAATACAAAAGAAAAGGAAAATTATTATTACTATTTTTATGTTAGTCTTTCCATCTGGGAATCTAGATCATCCTGAGATCTTCACATGCTTTAGGAAGGAGGTCTGTATTGTTGTACCTGTTCGACTAATGAGGGAAACGGAGACAAAGAAAAGTTATGTGATTTGAGAGGACCGTTTGGCAAGTCTGGGGCAGTCAAGAATAGAGCCCTGGTTTTACTGTTATGCTGTTAGAGTTCAGTTTATTTTATCCACCAGAAAAAAAGACGTATTCCAGTGTACTACTGTGGTGTTAACGTAACTTACCTTAGGAGATAGTTTAATACACAGGTGGGGCTCGTGAGTTTGTGTTAAATAGTTTAACTTGGGTATACTGAGTAAAGAAATATAAGCTCTCAAATTCTCTGAAAGAGAATACTTTTGTAGCTAAAGGTTTTAAACACAGAAATACTTGGCTTTATTGATGAGCTTGCATTAGCTTTATTAATGAGAATATTCTAATTTAAATGTCACTAGAAGCTAGTTTTTAGAAATAGATAATAAATTCATTCCATGCACGTGATCTATCTAGAAGTGGATTTTTCCTTCAGAACTTTTACAAAAACTCATTTGTGACTGTTAAGCTCACCTGTGGAAAAAGACCTGGAGGTTCTGGTGGGCAGCCAGCTGAACAGGAGCCAGCAGTGTGCCCAGGTGGCCAAGAAGGCCAACGACATCCTGGCCTGTATCAGAAATGGTGTGGCCAGTAGCACCACGAATTGATTGTCCCCCTGTACTTGGCACTGGTGAGGCCACACCTCGAATCTTTTGTTCAGTTTTGGGCCCTTCATGGCAAGAAAGACATTGAGGTGCTGGAGTGTATCCAGATACAGGGCAGCAAAGCCAGCGAAGGGACTCAAGAACAAGTCTTAGGAGGAGGGGCTGAGGGGAAGCCTTATTGCTCTCTACCACTACCTGAAAGGAGGTTATAGTCAGGTGGGGGTTGGTCTGTTTTCCCAAGTAACAAGTGACAGGATGGGAGGAAATGGCCTCAAGTTGCACCAGGGGACGTTTAGACTGGATAGTGGGAAAAAAATTGTCATGGAAGGGCTGTCAAGCACTGAAACAGGCTGCCCAGGGATGTGGTTGAGACACCATCCCTGGAGGTATTTAAAAGACATGTAGATGTGGTGCTTAGGGACATGGTTTAGTGGTGAACTGGGCACTTGGACTTGATCTTAAAAGTCTTTCCAACTGAAACTATTCTGTAATTCTACGGTTCTGTAACAGTTTGGGCTTACTTACTTTTTCTCCCCTCAACAGTCTGAATAACTACCGGAAATCCTGGCTGTACAAACTTGGATCTTTCTTTGTTATAATGCATCTTCTAGTTAATACTGCTTATTCAGGAACATCTTTATATGTTTCGCATTTCAATTATCCTGGAGGAGTGGCAATTCAAAAGTTGCATGAATTGGTACCTTCAACAGCAGGTATGTGAAGCTGGCTTGAGCTATGTTTGCCTGATTTCAGTTGCAGGGTGTTTTTGGTAGTATACCTGTGCATGTATTGCATGTAAATAGTGTGGAAAAGTAATATTCAACTTTTCTGTTACTATTTTGCTAATTTATTAATCAGAGTGTTCTTAGAAGAATTTTGAAACTCTGTTTTGTTTTCTTCATGTAGACGTCTCTGTTCATATTGATGTGGCTGCAGCACAAACAGGAGTTTCTCGGTTTCTAGAAATCAATTCAGACTGGAGGTAGGTTATGAGCTGAGGTATTTTTATCTGAAGACAGGAGCCTGCTTTTTTGGGTTTTTTTGTGTATGCACAGGGGCAAGCATCACACATGGTTGCTGGTACAGTGTATTTATTAAGTCAGGTCAAGAACAGTGTGAATCTCCAGACAGTTTTGATGCATGCAGTGCTGCCATTTCAGAAATAGTGGCTTATCTTCTCGTTTTCTTTGGTTTTGAATGATGTGCAGCAATGTGAGGTTTATCTGCATATTAATATTCAAAGCCTTTTTTTTAATGTAGAACATCCTTCCCATAGATGGCATTGAAGCTGCTGTTGTGGGCTGTTGGTCACACTCTTTGGCTCTGAGAGAGAGCAGCCAAGTGCTTCATTACTATGACCAGCAGTGATGTACAAACAGTTTTAAGAACCAGAATATTGAAGTGAATAGTAGGAGACATTTGTGGGATGATATTGTAAATAAGCTGTACTAAGGCACATAAAAACCAATCAA